CCCTGGGCGCTACGGGCATGTCCGACTGGGAGGAGACCCCAGGGAAGACCCAGGACACGCTGGAGAGTCTATGTCTCTCGGTTGGCCTGGGAACGCCTTGGGGTCTTCCCAGAAGAGCTGAAAGAAGTGGCTGTGGAAAGAGATGTCTGGGCCTCCTGGCTCAAGCTGCTGCCCACACGACCCGACTTTGGAATAAGTGGTAGATAATGGATGGATGGATGGATGGAAAGTATTTTTATTGTATTTTTAATTTTTGAACAGACATACAAACAAACAAAAAAAAGAGTACACAGAACAAAAACCCCTCCCCTCCCACATCGGATCAGTCACACACACACACACACACACACACACACACACACACACACACACACACACACACACACACACACACACACACACACACACACACACTCAAATAAACTAAACAGGCATTGACAAGTTTTCCACATACAACATAAAATTCTGCCAAGGCATACAATGTACAGTAATTTTGATTAAAAATCCAAGATTTATTTACACTTTCCTTTGTACAGCTAACATTTTCATGAAACCCCTCTGACAGCAAATCCTTCATAATGCAAAACCCTGACAATGTTGTCGGAGGAAACGGGGGTGTAGCTCTGCAGGTGAGGAGCGTTTAACTTTGGGACAATTTGTGATTGGTCAGTTGCTGATGAGCCTACTGGATTGATTGACAGGTGGCATTGAGGATCTGATTTGTGCAAAAAAATCAGATTTTACTGGCCAATTTAAGGGTGTCATCATTTATTCAATATTTATTTCAAATTTATTAAATAATTAGAAGAATCGTAAGATTTGAGAACTAAATTTCCTTACAAAATCCTAATGCTTTTTTTTTCAGGGGTGCTGAATTAAAATTTAGGGATGCTTGAGCACCCCCAAAAAGAGGCAACAATTGCCACTGTTTATGCATGTAAACAGGTTGTTCATTGGTAATCTTAATTTGTCTTTGCAAAAAAAAATGTTAGTTAAAAACAAGTATGACTTTTTATAACTGTTTATTGTTGTCGTTGTTGTCCATTGTTTTCATCATTCTTTGTTGAAATTAGGTCTCTCTTGTAAATGAGTCCTCGAGGCTCAATGGGATTTACCTGTCTAAATAAAGATTGAATGAAAAAAGCAGTACATTTTTTTCACATATTAGTAATAGCCTGAGTAAGATGGTGCATGCCTGCTTAATGCCACCTGAATACATAAAAATTAAAGGAGTTTAAAACATGGTCAAAATTTTATGTACAACACTAGGCACTAAAATATCTTTCCTCCCATTTTGAGCAGTCACTGCTCAGAAGGTCAATGTAGAAAAACAGGACAAAATGCATTTTCAAATGGTTATGGCTAATATAATGCACATGTATCATATTCTTTAAAACGTTTTTGAAGACTGGTTTGATTTTTGCTTTTTCAGGAAAAGCTAGTCCCTCATTTGTAAAATATTCTGTTTTTGACAGACAGTCACTCACAATAGATATTTAAAATACTTGTTGATTGTATAAAACTATATTAGGTGCATAAATCGTATAAGGAGGTAGGATTTAGTAAAAAAATAAAATTTCTGAACACACATCTGTAAACTCAGTCTACTGTAAGATATGAGTGTTTGCACAATCATTTAATTGGAAAAGTAACGTTTGGTGAGACTTTTGCTCCTTCTCTCAGGACAACGATTAGCTGTCGTCTCAGGCAGACGTCTTTGACTGTTCACCACAGACACCAGATTAATGTGAAAGCATGTTTGGTTGATTAGCAGTCCATGTCTTATTCATCCTCCACAGGTTCAACGATAAAATCAGGCACATTAAGATTTTGACCAAGGATGGATGCTTTTACATAGCGGAGAGTCGGCTGTTCAAGACTGTGCTGGTAAAGGATTTGACTTTGAATGCATTACTTTCTCCTGTCTTTACATTTTTCATTATTATTAACGAGTTCAAATGTTTTTATATCAATTCTCATTTCCCTATTAGAATTGGTACAATTTTATTGTAATTGTTTGAAGAATGTTTTTTTTTTCCTCCTGCTTATAAATATTTTTCAGTACAGACACATTTTGTGCCGTCATGATCAAACCTGACCAATAGTTTTCTAAATAACTCTTCTTATTTGCAAGATTTTCTACACATTTGTGTACAATAACAAGTAGCAGGCTTACAGATGTGAAGTGTTAAAGCTGTGTTTTGTCTTCTTGTGCTGATTTGACACAGGACTTGGTAGAGCACTATAAACAGCACTCTCTGAAGGAGGGTTTCAGCAGTCTTGACACCACTCTGCAGGCTCCCTACAGAGAACTGTCCAATGGAAACTTGCCTAAGGCCATTACCAAGGTTGGCAGTGGTGAGTGTGCTTCACAAACATCCAGGTTCCTTCTCTGACACTATCTGCCTGACAGGTGGAAACACTACAGGCTCAGATCATATCTTGAGCTAGTTATATCTGAAAGACATTCTTAGCAAGGCATGTGTTTTGACCTGTTTCGAAGACCAGCTTTTTGTGGCTTTTTGCTACAAAACACATTAAAAAAAAAAAAAAAAAAAAATATATATATATATATCTATATATAGATATATAGATATATATATAGATATATAATTTTTCTCTTGAAAGACCACAAACTCTGCCAGCTGTGTATAACAGGAGTACCCAGTAGTATGGGATTATAGTTGTCAAGACGTCACTTAAAAACAATGGATACATTTGAAGTACGAAACACTTGGTTGGAACCATTATGTTAAAACGTAAACACAATTCTGACAATATTGAACAAGTAAGCCATTGTTTTTAATGCCCCACACTGCAAAATCAGCAGAAATAAGAATATTTAAGTACAATTTTTTGTGGCAAAATGCAGATCTAGTTCAATAACCTGCCCAACATAATTACAACAACAACAACAAGTTATGTGTTGTCATCATTGTATGTTCCCATACAATAGCGAAACTGGCTCTCTGCATTTAACCCATCCACCCCTGGTTGGTGCGGTGGGCGGCTATTGGGGGCGCCCGAGGAGCAATTGGGATAGGGTGTGCTGCTCAGTGACACCACGAGATGCACAATGACTGGGGATCGAACCTGGTACTTTCGTGTCCCGAGTCGGCTCTCGGCCCCCATATATACTATTTATTCTTGTTATCTTTCAGCATTGCTAAATGTCACACTGTAACTAAATATGATAAATAAGCTTTGCACGAAGACCCAGGGTAATTAGATTAAATTAAATTCAATTCAAAAATACTTTATTAATCCCAAAGGGAAATTATTTGTTGTTGTAACTCGTTATCCTCATTTAATTAAGATATGTTACAGATACTGATGGCTGTAGGCAGGAAGGATCTCTTGTAAAGGTCCATCCCACAGTGGATCCTAAGAAATTGGCTGCAGATACTGTCAGATCCGTCCACCCAGACTCGGCTGGCCTCTCGGTTCTTCTGGGCTGTAGGACTGCCCAAATGCTGGGCAGAACTCCTCCCAGAGCGATGGCCACTCCTCCCAGCATATCCCAGATATCCAGCATAATGAAACAATTACAAAACTGAATATATATATATATATATATTGTAGAATGCCTGGTAGACTTGAAAGTTCAAACGGTTTTTTAATCATATCTGTATTTTGTTGATTTTCTTGAGTGTAACCATGATAAAGCTCTAGTTCTTCAACAATACAAGCAGCATTTGTTACTCAAGTTAATGCATTTCCTCAAGCAATTACTTACTGCATAATAATAGGCTTAAACGGCTGCACAAACACAGAACACAATAACATGACATGGCATACGAGATAGTAGAGCGAATCACAAACACAGACATAAATAAAAAGGAGCCTCGGCAGCTCAACAGGCTTGGCAGGGAGGTCCCAGTTAGGGCTCAGCGCCTCAGGCAGCCACCAGGAGCCTGCTACTTCAAAACATCACACTCCGCACTCTGCTTAGCTCCGAGATGGCTTCACAATCTTACTGACAGGACATGACATTCCACTTGGGCTGGCTGCAGAAAAATAAACAAAAAAAATAAATAAAATGTGTGACAGCCGTCTGCTGACAGACACCTGAGGGAACACTACTGGTCCAACTGAAAGACCACACCTTCTTCCAACAAAACTAAAAAGTTTGCGTCTGATTTGGAAGAACAGGAAGCAGCTGGACGTAAACTGTCTTAACTTTAAGAGAGATGCATGTGTAAACAATATGCAGCCGAGGCGAGCAGATGAACGCAGGGACAAAGTCAAATTTAGCTATTTGTTTCTGTTTGGGTGTAAAATTGTGCTGCATTCTTGTCGCGCTGCTTTTTTTTTTCTGGAGCTGGTCTCTGAGCACATTGGTTTTCAAAGCAGCTCTGTAAGAGGTGTATTTGTGCAATGCTGCCATTCATTGCACAACTTTCTTTTTTCCCTCATGAAGACTTGACAGACCTGCCGTCGCCTCAGTGCATTCTGGGGTGGATTAATATTGCTTTAAGTCGTCCACCCCCGTAGACAGTCTAGTGTGGGCATTGTATTCTCTGTCAGGTAAACAGCCTCTGTGAAAAGACAGATGTCATGCAACAGCAAAGAAAAAGGATTGAATCTCAAAACGGGCAGCAAACAGCAAAGAAAAAAGAATAATACAAGGCTGAGCGAATGTATACAAGCTGCAGAGCGGCAGAAAAGCCATAAGAACTCAGGAGAAATGTATTTGGAAAATCCCCAACAAGCATGTTTAATTAAGTCCAACGGTGTGCTTTTTATTGCAGATGAGCCAGAAAATGATTTGAAAAGTACATAATGATCTCTGTCAGGAAAATTCTTCTGTAGTTGAGATGTTTTCTTTTTCTAATGTAATAACTGTGGAAACAGCTTTTAGTGGTATAAAAATAAGTATATTTTACAGCCTTAAAATGTGCAGTTTAACAGTTTCAGGTGATGGATTGGGTTTTTCAATAGTTTGTATGGAGTCTGGACAGACATTTGCCTGCAATGGCAGCTGTTTAATAGAGAAAAGACGAAGGTATATGTCGGTATCCACATTGCTGTGTTAACAGAAGGGGGTTAAAAGTGTAAAAGTCTACTGGCTCACTCATTTTACATGGAGCCAGAGATAGTTGTTGACTCAGAAATGTAAAATCCGAGACGTCTCCTAGTCTGGGCCTCATGCTGTACTTAGACATACATTTACCGACCTGCTGCTGCTTTGGCTCACCTGTTCTGAAGCTGAAAAGGTTAGTAATGCAGATTGTTTTGTTGAATTACTGTACCTACTGATATAGCTTTTTAAAGTAGCCAAAAGCATGTGGATGGTCAAGAATTCCCCAATAGGTATTGACATTTACAACTCCAGTGTTGACTAACAGAAGATCCACCTGTCAGCCCTGCTGTCCATCCCACCTAAACTGGTTCTTGTAGATGCAAAGTTGCAGTGACTCTATTTTGACCTCCTCCCAAAAAACTAAGCTCTTCACTCTGTCCTTTAGAATGAGTGTTGGTACTCAGTGGAATAAGTACATTTCATGCCTCTTGTATTTGCAATCTCATTCTATGGGTCACTACATTTAGCTCTATCTTTACCACAAGAGATTGCTACAGCTGCCTCAATCCACCAATCCACCTCCACTTTGCACAACTCAATTCCAACCCTGAGTAGACAATCAACACTTTTCTAGTCGAGGACCTGGAGGTGCTGTAATTCATCCCAGCGGCTTCACACTCAGCTTCAAACCATTCCAGTGCTTGCTGGAGATCCCTGCAGGATGAAGCCAGCAAGACCACATCAGTAGCAAAAGTCAGGAATTTGCAGTCAGTATCTGGATACATTGTGGCTTTTTGGCTTTACCTAAAAGTTAGCGTTATGAGCAGGATCAGTAACTAAGCACACTCTTGGCGATTTCTTACCAGAAACATGCTTGAATTATAATAACTGTCAATATGAACCCAGGTTTTACGCCTGTTGGATTATACTGCATAGCCTGAAACCCCCATACAATAACATAAAGCTTCCATAAAACACTACGAGATGGTAAATGGACTGTACTTATATAGCGCCTTTCTATATTATTTCAAGACTCTCAAAGCTCTTTACACTACAATCTGTGTCCTCATTTACCCATTCATACAGCACTCTACTAGATCTCTACAAAGCTAATTGAACAAATCATTCTAATGAGACTAATCAGTGCTTTATCACAATCATACACCGATGGGACACACATCAGAGGCTATGAGAGGTTCAGTGTCTTGCCCAGGAACACTTCGACATGTGACTGCTGGTGGATTCGAACCCCCAACTCTCGCATTGGAGAACGACTGCTCTAACCACTCAGCCACAGCCGCCCATGAGAGACATGAACATAGTCTTCTTCAAGTAAACAAAACACATAATGACTTGTTAAAGACTAGAAAATGTATAGCTATTAGCTAAGTACAGCATGTTGATTTGTTTGAAATTGATTATATACATATAAAATAGGTTCAAGGATTTTGGCAGTGCTGTCATATGGCTATGGTAATTATTGATTTGTTTTTTGTATATACCATATGCTGAAACAAATGAGAAACTATCTTCAAGTACATTTGGCAAACTGGTTTCTAAAATAACTTTGTATAGCACAGTATTGACATGCTGCAGGACTAGTATGTATCTTGATGCATGCTCAATAATCCAGGACTAGTATGTAGTTTTCTATACGGCCAATGAAAGGCGGACACATTATATGATAGTCTTCATCAATCTGTACATGTCTGTAAACTTTCTCTTTTCCCACCCATAACGTCTGGTCCACTCACAATAATTTATTGAAACTCCATATACACATGCATCCAGTCTAGACGGAGTATCACATACACGTTTCATCACCCTAGCTCTTATGTCAAGGTCACAAGTCAAGGTCATATGTTATACAAGACTTTGATTGTCCAAACCTTAACTTCTGATCTACTTAAAATAATTAATTGAAAATTGATACACATATGAATCTCCAATAGGAGTGTTGTACACATTTTTCATCACCATAGCTCCAAAGTCAAGGCCAAAAATCAAGGTCAAATGTTAAAACAAGGTAAGTGCTTGTGCCACCCTTAAAATCTGATCCACTCAAGATAATGTAGCACGACTGGATACACATTTGTACAATCAGACAGCATGTCACATAATATTTTCATTTTCATTACCCTAGCTTCAAGGTCCATGTTACAAATAAAGATCAAAGGGTATACAAGGTCTTCACTTGTCTGGGCCATACTATAGACTGCTGTACTGCTTTATAATAGTTTGTTGACGGGCAGATAATGCAATGAAAACATGCAATGGTAACAAAAATAAGTTTCAAGCTAACGATAAAAGAAGAGTAAATGTTTGAGATGTGTGCATGTGCCAGGTGAAATGACAATTTGTCTGATGGTTTCATTGTTTTGCGCTCCACCAGTCTTTCCTTTTTCCTTGTTTATTGACTTTGACAACTTTTCTCTCTCCTTTACCCTCTCACACACACTCTCTTTCTGTCAAACTTGTGTTTACTTTGCTTATGTTCTCTCTTTGCTCCCACTACGGCCTGAAACCCCTCCTTCCCTTCTCCATGCACCCACCCCCGCTCCCTCATCACTCGCTCTGTTTCTCTGTAGTTCCTCCTGGCGGCTGCAGCTTTGTTCCTCCTTCCTTCTCGCCTTTCTGGTCAGGTACAGGTGCAGATTTTCTACTCTCTTTGTTTCCCCTTTGCTCTATGTTCACATTGCTAGGCTTCTGATCAATAACTCTCATGTTTTTTATACATCTTTGTTAAAGCATGGCATCCAGTCACATGCCTCGTATCTCATATTACATTGTATCTACGAACAACCTAATTGAAAAGTCATATTACTTAAATAAAAACCAATGATTTGTGTCAGCTGAGATTTACTTTTTTCAGTTTAATGCACAAAACTAGAGCCTTTTGGAACAAATAAATGGCAATGAGCTGCAAAGCCAGTATTTACTACATAAAACACATGGCCAACATTTCAACTAAATAAAATAGAGACATAAACTTTTGTGGATTTATATCAATTTATGACAGAAAATTTTGCACAGTGAAAACAGGTATCAGTAATTCTAAAATAAGTAAATAGTCCAGAAGAAAGGAATAGGGAAGATTTCTCATTTTTCTTCCATTACAGTGTCAATATGTAAGACTGTAGTTTGTTTTTGGTGCTTTGTGTGCACATACCGTGTACTGTATGTGCTGACTTGTAGTATTTGTGGACTTGAGTGTTTGTCTTGGTATGATGTGCCTTCGTATGCATGTGGGTGTAAATATGTTCTTTTCATCCAGCATATCTTCACAGTTGTGCCTTCTGTAATTTTGCAGATAAAGTAAGCAAACCTTTTCACACTTGTGTTCACATATGATATGAGCTCTGACCCACATGTGTAGGAATAATCTTGTATAGGCTGATAAGTGAGAATGCATTGCTTGAACTGACTTCAAAATAAGCATTCGACACATGACTGCAATAACTCCTGACCTCATGTACACTGTGCATCAAGCCCTGTGTTCTGGACTGCTGAATACGTCTCTCTCTCTCTTTTACCTATTAATATGTTTTGTTGTATTGCTAAAGAAAAGTTGCCAAAGTTGCTTTTTATTTGCTTCCACACCATGAGTCAGGGCTATGAGTCAAGGCTTTTTGCTACCCTATAATCTTCACCCTGTGCTATCCACAGTATCTATTATACAAAAAGAAACCTAAAAAAGTGTAGGCAAACCTAGTTCAGTTGACGTCAAGTTGCACCCAAGTTAACCTTTTATGTTAGCACTTCTTTAAAGACATTTCAAATACATAAAAATCATGTTCTACATTTAATTTCAGCCAAGGAACAACAATACGTCAGTAAATTAGATACAGTTTATATTTTTTGCATCATTTTCCATTTGTTTTCCAACATGCGCCTCACATGCTTGTTTGTGTCACTCCAACGTTTTGAAAAGTAGCTTGTAATTGGTTCCATTGATAAGACAAGATCTTGCTCTGTCTCAGTCTTTTCTCCTAGAGTGGTGGGAGTCGCGGTGGCACGCTATGACTTCTGCGCCAGAGACACACGAGAGATTTCTTTACAGCAGGGAGACATTATCAGAATCTACACCAAGATGTCCAACGGGTGGTGGAAGGGAGAAAGTGATGGAAGGGTAGGTTCATGACAAGTTTCCAGATTGCTATTAGAATAATTTGTGTTTTTATTTACATCCTTACAAACAAATAGGAGCTGATGAATATTACATATTATTTTAGGAATTCTGAATGATTAAGGGTTGATTGATTAAAGCCTGTTCTGAGTTCAAAATATTGTTGAACATCAAGAGCTGTATCCTGTTTGAGAAAATCCATCTATCCATTTGCTTCTGCTTATCCTGGGTTGGGTTGCGGGGGTAGCAGCTTAAGTAAGGAGGCCCAGATTTCCCTATACCCAGCCACTTGGGCCAGCTCTTCCAGGGTAATCCCAAGGCATTCCCAGGCCAGCCGAGAAACGTAGTCCCTCCAGCATGTCCTGGGTCTTCCTCTGGGTCTCCTCCTGGTGGGACGTGTCTGGAACACCTCACCAGGGAGGCGTCAAGCCACCTCAACTGGCTCCTCTCGACGTGAAGAAGTAGCGGCTCTACTCTATGATTCCCTCCCAGATGACTGAGCTTCTCACACTTTCTCTAAGGGAGAGCCCAGACACCCTGCGGAGAAAACTCATTTTGGCCGCTTGTATCCGTGATCTCATTCTTTCGTTCACAACCCAAAGCTCATGACCATAGATGAGGGTAGGAAGGTAGATTGACCGGTAAATAAAGAGCTTTGCCTTTTGACTCAGCTCTCTCTTCACCCCAACAGCGCCCGCTTGTTTGAGAAAATAATATGTATATTTTGTGTTTGGTTTTACTTGACTATAATATTGGGGTAGCAATACATATCACAGCCCGATACTAAGTCTGTATCAGGTACTAACTGGGTACATACCTGGTATATCCCAGTTAAACTCAGCACTACACATTTTATTTAACAGTAGACATTTCAAAGTAGTAACTTGATAAATCTTTGACTTCATGGTGGTAGGACACCAAGTTGTTGTCTTGCTGCATGGCACAATTCTCTTCGAAATTCAGTTATCAAAAACTATTGTTGAAATTGATGGGGGTTTTTTTTGTCTAGTATTTTTTCTTCTAGTTTTCATTTTACTTGTACACGTTGTGTGAGTATTAAGAAATGTTTTGGTTAGTTTGTTAAAAATATTCTGTTTTGCTGCATCCCAGGTGGGCTGGTTTCCCTCAACATATGTGGATGAAGAGGATTAACCCAAATGAAAGAGAGAGGACTCTACTGCTCTCTGTACCCTCAGTCACACCTCCATTGATCAAACCCAGAGGACCAAACATGCGAAGAGCTGGCAGTGTCCTTTAAAACCTTCCTTTGCCCTCTGGCATACGCTCACATGAGGGAGGGTAGGTTGTCAAAACACAGACTCCAGGAGTGTCACGCCATATCTTACCGCATTGTGGCATCATCTGTCCCTTGGATTCCATCTCAACCTTCTCTTATTATTGATGACTTCAATGGTTGGTGTAAAACTTCACTGTCGTTGTGAAGGCTCTATCACACACCTGAAACCCAGATCCTGCTGACAGTGCGCTGGCCTGGTACACCACTAAATCCACATGCTGATGAGCTTTGACCTTAGCTGAAACACCAAAACCCTTTTGTGACTTCTTTTTTAATCTATGATTTTTAAAACTTCAGGAACTGGATATACAAGACTTGATTCAAAGCTTTGTGAAATAAAGATACAATGTTTTCATTACTAGAGAATGACAGTTTTATTTATCATAAATCCCGTTCTTATCTTT